ACTTCTAATTCACTTATTCTCAGTCAAACAATTAGCCTCTAGATGTTGAACTTTGAAGAAATACATTACATAAATCTACTGAGGGCAGAGGAATCATATCAAGAGATAAACTGCTGAACAATTATTACAAACATCTGTTATATTCATATATTATAAAAAATGTTTTTCTCAGAAGATTGTTTTCATTGCAGTGTAACTATAGCTACAAAAAAGTTGAAAGCCGTCACGATTAAAGAACTATTTTTTAGTTAGTGTTGGTAGTTTATGGATGTAATGTTACTCAATGTTAACGTTAGTAAATCAGATGTAAATCTTGGTAATTATAAATTCAACTTAGTATTGTTTGTTTGAATCTTCCCATTGATGTTTAAGACTGAAACTGGTTAGTCTCTTATTGGCATACGTGCATGCTGTGTGTATTACATCGATTAACTCTGAGATGCAGGTACATCCAGCTGACGAGTCCCAAATAGGACGAAACGCGCGTCAAACTGGATTCCACTGCTAGCCACTATCCATCTTTGCTTACCATGCTTTTGAATTTAGGCTATATCGAGGCAATACGCACAGTATGCACATATTCCAATTAGAGACTGACCAGTTGCAGTCCTAAAAACATCAATGGGAAGATCCAAACAAACAATACTAAATGAATTTAAAAGGCATAATTATTTAAATTCATTCACTATTCATCTTTGCTTACCATCTTGGTGATTATGTTTTACTAGTTACGACATTTTATTAGAGTCTAAATTTTATGGAGGCTATTGATTTTCTTTTTGTTTCCGTCAATACAGTATTCACATATCTATTCATTAACCTTTTTAAATTTGTAGTAAAGTCAAAGGAAATAGCTTTGTGATTTTATAGGTACAATTCAACTAATAAAAAAGAGGGCCTGTACAAAATCAGGAATATATCGCAAGTTATGTAATGTGACATGTTAAAGCTGAATGGGGCTAATTGGTTTTCCAAAGACTTATTTATCAGTTAGCCTATTCTAATATTAAAGATCATTACCATAGATTCCGTATCATTTTTATGGCCGTAAATACATCTGTAGAAAATTAATTGCTTAAGACAAAACATTTCTGAATAAAACCATTGATGTTTTGGCAACATAGGGTTATGAGTCATTATATATAATGAGTTGTACATGAACATTACGATTTGTTGTAGCATTCTCATACTCGTTATTCTATGGATCACTATTGCTTACAAAATTTTCTACATGTCGTAGCATCTAAAACTAATCTCACATAACATTAAAAATGTTGTTTTCTATATTTTGTTTGACTCTATTTTATGGGATGGTTACCCAGTTACCAGATTTCTTAAACAAAACAGTTTCTTGAGTAAATTTAGTTTGAACAAGTGTTTGCGGATATTAACAATGATAAAAGCATAATATACTGATTGTCTTTAGTTAATCAATGAGAAGTAAGGTAACACCGCATGCATTATACTTGAAGTTTAAAGTGCAATGATAAATAACATGTATGTTGTTACTGACCAAGTGAAAATTGATAATACCAAAAAATTGAATTTCAGACGATTCTTAAGCTAAATTACATAATATACCTGCTCCTTAGCCAGATTTTGTATTAAAATGCATGATGCTGTTCATTGTATAATTAGCGAAGCTAGATAGTAATCTCCTTTTATGACTCTCGCTCTCAATCTGAACCCTAAGTTTCTTAAGTTAGTGAACAGAAAAGTAGGATATCATTGAATTATAACTGATGTTAGCTTGTGTTGAGAACTCAGAGCCTAATTTGATAGCCTAACTTAAAACTCCACTTTCAGTCCTAATACTTAAACATAACATTTTTGTCAATTGATTGATCACTGGGTGGTGATCAATTTCATGCGTGTCAAGTCCTTCTTAGTGCTGATCAAATTCTATCGACCAAGTTGCAATGTGGCAACTAGTTTGGGTGGCTCGACAGTGCATGCACTATGTTCAGATAATATGGTGGTCCAAATAGCTCATTGGTAACGTCTCTGAATGTGAAACTGGGTGACACGGGATCGAAACCGTTGAGGTGCACCAGTTGCTTCCAGAATACAAGTACACCTTACCGATGAGTGTCAAGTAGCACGAAACCCGGGTCCATGGTTTCCTGTTGACCACCTCCAACCACCATCTCATCTATAACATTTTTGTATTATAACTAATGTTAGTTGGTGGCGAAGACTCTATGGGGTAATAACACTAATTGATAGCACAAGCTCAAATTTTAATATTCATTCAAATGTGTAAACATCCCCTTTTTCTTGACGAAAAGAGATCATTAAACTTATGAGGGTTAATTATTACAATTCAAGCTGTTATTCTTCCACTATTTCACTATTTTGTATAATTAAATATTTTTTGACTAGGGAGTGCTTCCTGATTGACTGATAAGTCTCCAACGGTTATCAGTATATCATATTTTTAACTTGGCAACATTGTGATTCTGAAGTTATTGATACCATACATTTAGCTCAATGATTATTGATTTTATTTCAGACTGTTTAGGCAACACAGATAGACTTATTATTATTAGACTTTGCTAGTAAGACAATTTTACAAAACAGTTTTGTCTCTGAGGTGAGTTGTGATGTTTATTTAATTATAGAAACCCCAATAAATATTTAAGTCAGACATCAATTTGTTTAATTAAAAAAAAAGATAAAAGTTTCTAGATTATTTATTTTATGTAGATAGTTTAATCACATTATTTGTATTATGCATATTGTGAAGTGTAATTTATCTTTTCCAAGCCCTTAATAAACTTGAGATAGTTTTCACTATCTGAATGAGATTGACAATTATGTCTTAGGATAGTTATAGTTGTGTTTTTGTTTTTTTAAGAGGAAAAACGTGATTTACTACTAATTGTATTAACTCAGAGGAATGGAAGTCAAGTAGCTATCTGATAATGAAATAAAAAAAATGATGTTTTTTTTTGATATAACAAAATAATTTTCGATCACCTGACAGTCATCCAATTTTAGAATTCTGTTTGGTTTATTATTGGGTTGAATTTAGGCAAGAGTTACAATATTACAGATGTAAAAATATATCTTCTGTGTAGTTAAGCTACATCATAACGCTTGAATAAACCACATATATCAGAATGAAGAGTATCTCTGATCGTTTGTTTACAACAATTGTATGGATCCAAAATCAGATAGTCTGAGCCCTACTTACATGTCTGTGTATTGGTTTTTAGTCGCCTATTGATTAATTTCAATCTTCACCTATATTAAATACTTCAGTTTAATGTCTATATAAAAAAGGTCCTATAATCAACTTCATTATCAATTCAGTGTAAAAAGAGATCACGTCAATGGATGAATAGATTATTGATAGTCCAAATAGAAATGTTGAAGCTCACTGACTAGATTACAAATTTGGTCTATAGAAATCATTTAGTAAGCACTTGAGAACTATAATAATCAAATAAAAAAGATCCTATTATTCCTTAATAAGTTATTTACAAGTTTGAATCCCACTTAGTATATTACCTTTGAAATGCATACTGATAACGCTGTCCTGGAGAACAATCAAAATTTCAACAACCAAACTATCCAACTCAGAGACCACAACACTCTCAATATCCACACAGCGAATTATAAATATTTCCCATCATTAGTATACTTCTTCATGCCCGTCCATACACGCACAAAGCACGAAAAGAGATCATCTGACTTATGAAAGTTATTTATTACAATTCAAGCTGTTGTTCTTCTATTATTTCACCACTTTTTAATAATGAATATTTTATAACTAGGGAGTGTTTCCTGCCTCGTAAGATTCGAACCCAGGACCTATCAGTCTCGCGCGCAAACTTTTAATAAGCTTGTGATAGTTTTCACTGTCTGAATAAGATTGACAGTTTTGTTTTAGGATATTTATAATTGTGTTTTTTTACTTTTTTACGAGGGAAAAACATGATTTATTACTACGTCAGAGAAATGGGAGTGCGGTAGCTATTTGATTATCATATCAAAAGAGTGATGTTTTTTTAATATAACAAAATAATTTTCAATCATCTGATAGTCATCCGCTTTTGAAATTCTGCTTGGTTTATTGTTAATTGAATTTAGGCAAGAGAAAAAATATTAGTGATGTAAGAAATATTTCTTCTGTGTAGCTAAGCTATTTCATAACGCTTCAATAAACCACATGTATCAGAATGAAATCTATGCCAATATACGCTTCATTGAAGAATATAGCAATCGTGCATTTCAAACTGTTTTTATCAGTTAATGAAGCGGTAAATTACTACATGTTCTACAGTGAAAACTCAGCGCAACTTTGATTATTATCGTCACTTAAGTAATAAACAAACTACTTGTTTTGAAAATGTTATCAAGTAATGAACTAAAAAAATCTAAAATTATCATCAAAAACTTTGTATCCATAATTTCATATAGAACAGTGACAAGAATATAGTTTTAGGGAAGTCTAAAAAACTACCGAGTATTTTCGATCAATTTTTCGCCATTCAGAAGACCGCTTTTATATTTTGGAAACTCATGGAAAAGTATAATATACGAACAGACTTTACATTATTAATAAATCTACTGATCTACTTACTATACATGATATTTTAATTTTGTTTGATATTGAGGATCCACCTAGGGGGGTTGGAATACCCTGATCCCAAAACAGGGGGCTACACGATCCTCAGGGAACACATGGTGTATGAGCCTATTGTTAGTCACCAGCTATCATGGGACTGCATTTCCTGACGTTTCTTCACTGCCTTATGGATCAGACTTTTGGGTCGAAGCCTTCGCGTGTAGGTTCTTAAGAAAACCACTTGCTTAAGTCTGAGCATCTAGACAGTATCACAGACCACACGCAAATCAAATGACTTGTGTAGTGCATAAGTATTCGGTACTCCTTTGTATCAATATTTATGTGTTCAACTAAATAAATAAAATAATTTTGCTCGCTTATTTTGAAAAAAATCATTTTCTCAATTTTGCTTATTTCGTCTTCACAGAAATGAAATTTTGTAATATTTAACTTTTAAATCAATAAAGCAAATGAGAAATCCTGAAAAATCAGAAAATCTCTGGTGTTTTTCATTTATTCAACATTTAATGAATAAATATTTGAATTTTAAAACTATGCAATCACATGAGAATTATATTACATTAAAACAAAATGATATAAATTTACAATATAGAAGACAATCATTAAATGAAATGAAAAAAAAATCAAAAAATATATTACGTAAATCAACTACAATGTTATTGGATCCTAATCAAAATCAAATGAGTCTAAACTCTATACTTCATTATAATCCATTAGAATCTACTAGTTTCTCACAATCATATGAACCTTTTAATAATGAATTAAATTCATCACAAATATGGAAATGTCCTCATTGTTTAACTAAAATTCAATTAATCAAAATTCAGAATACACCAGAAATTATTCAATCACATCGGCAAAATAAAGGAATTCGTACAAATCCTTGGATATATCATCCTAAATTAGAGTTAAACAATAGTAAATCTAAAATACCTGTCACTTCTTGTTCAATTTCTAGTTCATTAACAGATAGTGGTATTTATTTATGTACAGATAGTGGTTCACGTTGTGGTTACATTACTCGATCAACTACTGAAACTGAAATAAATAAAAATAATTATTTTAATGTACATAAAAATGATATACCGATTATACCTATATCACCAGATCCTCCACCATCACCAGCTCCAAAATGTACACAATGTATTATTGGTCCAGATTGTTTAGAGCATACAAGCTTGCCTTTTGAAGTAAATGAGAACCGAACTTTATTGAATAATTCTAAAACAACATGTAAAGGATTTTGTAAATCAGCAACATTGGATTTATCTAATTTAGTCAGTGAAACTAATGAATCAATAAATAGACCAAGAAGGAAATTATTAACTAAAAGAGTGAGAAATCAAATGAGGAGGTCATGGTTACAAACTACTACGGGATCAAAATTACTTCCAAATCTATCACCATCTTTACATTTAGACTCATCATCTTCTTCATCATCATCATCATGTAAATCTCCATCATTTGAACATAAAGTTACTCTTTCAGCGGATGAAAGAATTCCTTGTTGTACAAATGATGAAACTGAAAGTATAATTGATAAACATAACTTACTAAGTAAACAAACGGATACCAATGTTTCTGATTCCCAAATTATTGAAGACAATGAATTAAGTAAATCAATAATATCCTCTTTCATTCAAAATATGTCACCAGAATTAATTAAATCAATAAATTTAAACAATAGTTTAAATTTTTCAACTGTATATAATGATAATCTTAACAACAATGAAGATAATTTATATGATGATATTCAATTAGAAAATTTACGAACTAATTTAAAAATTCTTTCTGAAGCTAAAAATGTAATCAATATGCAAATGAGAAATTTAGGTCAAAATTATATTAATTATTTAAAGAATAAATATTTAATAAATACAATGAAAAATCAATAAATTAAGAAAGAATCACTCAAATTTGAAAATTCAAACTATTTAATGATTACAATGAAAAATCGATAAATTACGAATGAATCATTCAAATTTGAAAATTCAATCTATTTATTGAATACGATGAAAAATCGATAAATAATGGATGAATCATTCAAATTTGAAAATTCAAGCTATTTATTGAATACGATGAAAAAATCAATAAAAAATGAATGAATCACTCAAATTTCAAAATTCAAGCTATTTATTGAATACTATGAAAAAATCAATAAATAATGAATGGATCATTCAAATTTGAAAATTCAAAGCTCAAGAATTTGTTCAATACTAAATTGAAATTACTTTTAATTAGATATACATTATAAAATAGTATTTTTTTCATAAGAATATTATCTTATTGTATATATAGTATAATGTAAATTAATACAATGGGATGATATTTTGAAAATTATTTTATATTGTGTGTACATTTTCTATAAACTATAAATTATAAGTGTAAAAAAAATGTTAAGTGTGATATCGATTTTTATCTCTATGCATGAAAATAATTGATCTTTTAATGTTGAAGAAAAAAAGATTTTTCGTGTATATATTGTAAGAAAGATGATATGAATCAATGTATAATATATAACTATGAATACAAAAAGTTTATTTACATGCAATGTGGTTATTTATCAAACTTTTTATTGTATGTAAGCAAAGGTGGATAGTGACTAACAGTGGAATCCAGGATGCGCGTTTCGTTCTATTTGAGACTCGTCAGCTGAATGTATCTGCATCTCAGAGTTCACGTTCACCCTGCGACTCCAACCCAGTACCTTTCGCTTCCAACGCCATTGCGTTATCCACTCAGAGTGAACATCAACTCTGAGATGCAGGTACATCCAGCTGACGAGTCCCAAATAGGACGAAACGCGCGTCAAACTGGATTCCACTGCTAGCCACTATCCATCTTTGCTTACAATGCTTGTGAAATAAGGCTATATCGAGGTAATATGCACAGTATGCACATATTCCAATTAGAGACTGACCAGTTGCAGTCATGAACATAAATAAGAAGTTTCAGACAAACAATACTAATTGAATTTGTATTAAATGGTTTCATGTATGTTATCAGAAAATGTATAATTTCATACTTTATTTATCCTCATACATATAGAGACAAGAAGGTGAAGATTTAAGCATAGTTTATCCCACATATTATTGAGTAGTGTTAACCACTCATTTCAATATAATTAGAAACAGAGTAGGATAGACATTTTTTGCAATCTATGTAAATAATTAGACAATGACTTACTGAGTTTAATGGTCATGTTAATTCAAATTAGACAATATTATATTAACGTTATCAAAATCAAACCTTCATATCAAATTATGAAATTTTATAGGTGAATCTCTTTAGATAATGGATCAACAAAAATGCATGATAGTTTTCTAACAATCAATCAATTCTGATCTCGAAATGTTTGATACAAAGAAAAGAAACAAAATAAATAAATAAAATTTAAAATTAATTTGAATCAACATTTAGAAATGAGCATGCACAACCCAACAAGAAATCGAACGCGGGAAATTCATATATTTTGGAGTGAGCTTAAAATTTAGATGATAATTTGACATTAAGTAACTTAAGTTTTAATCAGTTACGAATGTTACTCAATGATGATCCACTGTCGTTAATGATACATGTCTTACCCTAAGTAGATCATTCAACTGAACTAATCCTGTAATATTAGCTACAAGATGCTAGATCTTACTCCCATGCCTAAACTCGAATTTCCTATTTTGGTTCATGTGTGAGATAAATACATTCCATTGTGGACATTCAAACTTAAACCAATTTCTTCAAATTACAACGAATCACTGTTTAAGATTGAGTCTAAATAGCTACTTAAATGGTCAAGTAGGAGACAGTTATTAGTGTTTTAATTCTACCGTTATTGATGTTTAGCGCTTTATTTTTATCAGTGTCTTTTAGCATACGTTTTTTTTACGAAATGACGCTTTGATACTAATTTTAAGGCATCATCAGAGGATGGACATAGACTTACAGAGACTAATTATAATCTAGATCATGATATTAGTAATGGGTTAATAAAAACGTGTGCCAACTAAACAATATTCCATAAACTAACTAATTTTAACTGAGTATATATAACTGCAATGAGAAACAGAAAGTTACAGATAAATAGAAATAATATTTATTTGAAATTCATTCATTTAACTAAATGTGTATAATTTTATAAAGTTGAGATCATGGATCAATTGGAGCTAGACCTCCATGGAAAACCTGTAAGCACTGGACGGCTGTTTCGTCCTAGTATAAGACTCCTCAGCAGTGCACATACACGATCTCACCTCGCGAGATTCAAACAATGCTTCCAGGTTACCACGGTAGTCTAGCTTCAATTCACTCATGATCTCAACTATTTAAAATTACTAAAATCTCCACAAAACCCCCCAGTAAACGTGCATGAGTTCATAAAATAATTAAATATGTAAATTGATATTACTTTAGATATCCTCAACTGAAAGTCCATAGCTATTTATCGATTCATCTATTTATTTCTTAGTTCTTGTATTTATTATCTCATATGAAGGGTCAAGTACACTTTTATATAAAGTAAAAAATATATTTAGTTATTCAAGTGATTTATACCAATAACTGTTATTTTGATTTTAGCATAATTTAATTTATAGTAAACTGTTTCCATAAGATTGGCAAAAGAATGTTTGAAGCTAGACCACCATGGAAAACCTGGAAACACTGTGCGGCCGTTTCGTCCTATTATAGGACTTCTCAGCAGTGCGCATCCACGAACCCGCTCTCGAGAGATTCGAACCCTGGACGAAACGGCCGTCCAGTGTTTCCAGGTTGTCCATGGTGGCCTAGCTTCAATTGACTCACGCTTTCAACTATGAAAAATACTAAATTTCCATAAAACCCCCTCTGATAATTAAAAGAATGATTACTTTCGTTTTGTTAAAACTTGGAATAATGAAAATAGAATTGGTGACTAATAATTTTCATGGAAAAAATCATACTTTAAACACTAGAGTACAATAAATATACTCATTGACAATAACATTATTAATAATAAGTAGTAATAATAGAAAAATTGATTAGGAGAATAGTACTAGAAACAATTTTTAAGACGAAGCAACTGTTGAACGTGGACTAAATATAGCAAATCGATAATGTTAAAATAATACCAAATGAGATAAAAAACAATAAGCCTAAAATACCATAATTAGACAGATAAAGTACTCCAGTCATCATCTATAATCAATTCATTTTTGTATTGTTTGTTTGAATCTCTTCATTGATGTTTAGGACTGCTATTGATCAGTCTCTTATTGTCATCTCGAAGCAAACACCAACTCTGAGATGCAGGTGCATCCAGCTGACGAATCCCAAGTAGGATGGAACTCACGTCCTTGATTTCATTGTTAGCTCCCATCTATCTTTGCTTCTCATTTACAATTGTTTACAAAGACACTATTCAATCGTAAATGTTCAACTATGCATAATAAGAGCTTATGAATCATTGTGGATTTGTTTGTGTAAAATAATATTTCTTTAACTGAGAGAAACCGAAAACTTCATTATAATTTATTAATAAGAAAAGCCTTATAACTATAGATCGACGTATATCTGTATGGGTAATAAAAAATTGAACAGATTCCTAATTACCGAATACCTTCGAGGTTATTTACATAAGTGAAGTTTTAAGTTCTAGAAAGTCGGAAAGACTGCAAAAAAAAGGGAAAAAAAGATTTTGCAACTGTTATTGTTCTCATAGAAGCTAATTTTCCTCAAAAATATAAATGAGGGGAATGCTTCAGAAGTAAAGTCAATTTTTATTTCAGACATAAACTAAACGTTTTTATCGTTTTTTTTTACAAAAAAACTATTCAAATATAAGTGAATACAAAGTATTCATTCTTTTTAATAAAGGGCTTTTAAATGTAATTACTTACTTAAGTTATCACGTTCCATTAAGCCTAGAAAACAGATTTGCTCAGATTGCATAAGTTGACAATAAAAAACCGGAAAATAATCGTTGAGAGTTCGAAGATTTTACTTATCAGTGTGAAGTTATAAAGACTGTTACGTTTTTGATTGAGATCGTGAATAAACGAATGTTAAACCATCATTCAAAATGTGAAAGCACTGGACGACCGTCTCGTTCTAATATGAGATTCCTCAGTAGTTTGCACTCACAATCCTCCACGCGGGACTCAAACCCAAGGCCTTTGATCTCGTGTGAGAACGCTTAACATCTAGACCACTGAGTCGGGATCCAACGGTTTTATTGTCTTACTTCAAACTATCCTCGAAATTACGCATTGCTGATAAGTCCTATAGTAGGGCGAAACGGCCATCCAGTGCTTTCAGGTTTGCAATGGTGGTCCAACATTCATGAATTCATGATCTCAATACAGAAACTTAATTGTTAGATTACAGACCATGATTTGTTTTTTGCTATTACTAGAATTTATATTTGTTGATGCTCATTACATCAACTTTATTGTAAATGAAATAAATCTGTACAAACATTATCTCAACCTGACGTGAACAATATCTTCTAATGTTTACTAGCAAAAATAAATGATTATGCTTTTTAGAACCTAATTCTTATTACAATAAGGTAATTGACAGTAGTATAAGTAAACTCTTATTCGTGTAATTAACAGGTGTATCTACTATAAAATGTACAGGATAATAATCAATCTGAGCTATTCTGTTCAACTATTATTTCTGTATTCACTATAAAATACATTCACTATTTCTATGAACTTTTGATTTAATTTCCACTAGATAAAGGATTTCTGTAGTTTATCAGTTGTTAATTTATTTTCAGGAGCTACACCTTGAAAAATGTTTCAAAATGTACCACAGAAACAGTGTTAATTTAGTTAGCCAAATGATCACAATCGGTGATAAGAACTGTCTAACAGAAAAATTCACACATCATATGTTTATAATAAACATTGAAACTCTAGTCGATAACTTCTAAAATACGTTTATCATGTTCATTTGAAAGGTTTTTGCTCAGTAAATTTTAACCATGTTGAAAAGTGGGACATATATCTTCAATGAGATTGGTTGTTTCAAATGACAATTCACAAATATTGAATGGATTCGAACAATTTAAATCATCATGATCCGATTTGATACTGTAAGCATATCATAGATGATATTTTTGACTTTAAAACGTAATGCGACCATTGATGTGTACTGCTAAGGAT